CCGTGACACAGCGTTATCCATTAAAGCAGCGCCTGTGACACACACAAGAACCCCCCCCCCCCCCCCCCTCCTCCCAGCGACAAGCCTCTTCCTCTCTGCAGTACTTGAAGTGCTTTGGAGGTAAAAAGGTTTCCCGGTGGAGTGGGCAGGGCAGTTGGAGATTCTCTCTCTCTCTCTCTCTCTCTCTCTCGCTTGGTTTCTTTCTCTCACTGTCACGCTCTCGCTCTTTTTCTGTCTGTCTCTCTCTCACACTCTCTCTCTCTCTCTCTCATTCTTCTTGCTGCTCTCTCTCATTCTTTCTCTCTCTCTCTCTTTCATGCTGTCTGTTTCTCTCTGATGCTCTTTTTCTCACTGTCACACTCACTCTCTCCCGCTTCCTGTCTGCTCCTCTCTCTCATATACTCTCTCTCACTGTCACTCTCTCTCTCTCTGCTGCTCTCTCTCTCCCATGCTCCTTTTCACCGTCACACTCTCATGCTGTCTTTCTCTCTCACCGTCTCCCTCTCCCCCCCCCCTCTTCTCTATGAAAACGGCATCACCGGAGTACTCTGCATCTGCTCCTCTTGGACCAGCCGCCCCCTCTTCACCATCCAGACAGATCTGGCCGCCCTCTCCTTTCCAAACCGCCCCCCAAAGGAGCCCCCCCAAGCTGGCATCGCTCTCCCATGCCACGTCTGCCTTCCAGGGCCGACGCTCATGCCAGGGTTCTTATTATAGGACGCTTATGCTGGGTAAACGGGCCACACTGGGATCACTGACTTTCCATTATGTGACTGATGGTCTGCCCAGTAGCTCAGGGTACGTCTGCTCGACTGACGCTTGTTTCTGTTTCACTTGCTAACATCAGATTGATGGGCTCCTGAATTCTTTATGACTGTCAGCCGGTCGACTGTCCCCCCAAAAACTGGGTTTTTGTGTTTATAGGCTGTTGGGTCAGCGCTGGGATTGCTGTGCGTGTTTCTTTGTAAAGCCAGTATTTTGGGTGCCGTGTGTGTTTTTTTGTGTGTGGCTGTGTGTGTGTGTGTGTGTGTGTGTGTGTGTGTGTGTGTGTGTGTGTGTGTCTGTGTGTGTATGTGTGTATATGTGTGTGTGTGTGTGTGTGCGCGTGTGCGTGTGCGTGTGTGCGTGTGTGTGTGTGTCTGTGTGCGTGTGTGCGCGCGTGCGCGCGCGTGTGTGTGTGTGCTGCATTTGTCTTTGTAGGCCTGCATCTTCATGTTTATTAAGCTTGTCAGTGTTTCCCATGATGTATGTATTTAGCAATGCAGGACAGATCTGTTTGGAGTCAACACCCCCCTCTCATGACATCAGGAGACTGCGTTTCCATCTGGGGGGTGGCAGGTGGCTGGATGGTTTTGGGGAGGGGGGGGGGTGGCGATAGGCTTTCTCCAGGGCAGGAGGTCAGAGAGGAGCGGCTGTGTACACAGAAAAAGTTTGGGGACATCCCGGAGACGTCTGATAAATATTTCTGAGTGTTTCCCATCAGCTTTTCATTTTCCAGCTCTATCTGGATTCCCTGGGGTGTTTTGCGTCAGTATGTGATTTAATTAATAGGGAAACACGGGTCTTTCTCCAAGTCGAATTACCGTGTGCTGGTTTTATATACCAATGATTAGGGCTTCAGCTTGTTGTATGTTTATGTCTGTGAACTCGGAGCCGCTGACACGTGTGACAGCCAGCCCACTCGGGCGCACGTTGTTGACACGGCAGCGTGCTCGATTTTCACGAGCGGTTTGAGCACAAGCACCCCCCCCCCTCCAGGTAATGGAGTGAGGATGGTTATTCAGCAGTCATGTTGCGGTGTGTGTAAATGCACCCATAGGCTGCCTGTGTGCCTTGAGCTGCCTAATCCCCTCGTGATCCATCCTGTCTTGTCATACGTGGTGCCTGTCCCCCCCCCACCCCAGCAGCAGCAGCAGCAGGGGTGGCCAGTTGTGATTTGGTGGTAGTGGGGGCTTTTGTTTCCCGGGCGATGTCTTTTGCCGCCCCTGCAGAGTTTCGCTATGCAGCTCTCATCTTCTCAATGAGTTCTTCTTGTTAAATTGCAGTTTAAACTCCTGGGATGAGAGCTTAGTCCTGCGTACAACTTAGGCCATCGGTGTTTGGTAGGACGTTAAGCCCTCGCCTTGTATTCTCCGGGGCACCTAATCCTGAGGTCGGGATTAGGTGGGTTTGTTTCGGTTCCTGAAACAAGAAGCTCTGCTTCCTGGGAGCTCCGGACGCCACAAACATCAGAGTACCCAAAGACGGACAGTCAGTGCATCTTCTGATGGTATCTGAGTTCCAGGATCAATACACTGTTTGTGCAGCCTCTCTGAACGTTCGGGGTCCTCCCTGTCATCCAGACCACCTTTTGGCTTATGTGGCCACTGGCTGTGGTTTATATGCTGCAGACCGTCACAGTACGGGGTGCCTGGGGTTCGCGGCAAGTCAGGGTGAGATCAGACTGGGCAGAAGATGGCTGCTGCAAGCCTGACTTTGATTATTCTGATTTGATTAACCCATTTCTGCGTGCAGTATCTATAAACACAGAATCCATGTGGAGTTTTAGCTCTAGGTTTAGCCTCTGCCGTAATCGTTTGGAAGAAACTCTTGGCTCGTTTTTGTGTTGGCCCAGATGCTGGACCACTGTCTCTGCCAGAACTCCAGCAGAAAGAGTTGCCCTTTGGGGACAGCAAGGGGCCTGCCATGTTCCCTATACTACAGGCACCCATCTGGATTTGAGTTCTCCCTCATTCTCAGTCAAGTGCACCACCTTCCATCTCTCCCCTGCTCGTTCACCGTCGACCACTGGTGGTCGAACATTCACAAGCGCTCCCGAGCCACCGAGCCCAGTGCAATCTGTGGGCCGTCTGGGGAAGCGGGAGGAAGAAAAAAAAAAAGACGCTGTGGTATGCCAGACAAGGGATTCCTTCAAACAGGGGGCTTTGCGTAGCATCCTGCAGGAGCCAAGGTTCGAGCCCCGGCATTGCTGCCATTCCTGCTGATTACCTCAGCCTGCTCGTGTTCGCAGGCTGGCCTCAGAAATGCGCGCCTGGCACATAGTTTCATGGTCTGAGATTAGTTTTAAAAATTCACCGGAGCTCAGTGTACAAAGCCAGTTTACCGTGGCACATCTCATAGGAGCTACTGTGAGGCATCTTTGCGAGACTTTCATATCGTTATCATATGTTAGCTTATCCTGGCTCGGGTCTGCTGGGCCAGCCTCCCCAATGCACGACTTCAGTTAGATCTTTCAGCCGAGGAGACATAGATAGAGTTGAGGGAGCTCGATGCATTTTCTCACTGCGCCTCAGAGAGACGTCATGCCTCGGTCATTCAGCTTGATTCATCCTCTTCCTGTGTGAACTCAAACTGGTTCGGTCTCGAGCTCTAATAAACCGCTGTCCACCTAGTCACCGAACTGTCATTCCCCCTCCCCTCTGTTGCCACGGAGCTGTTTGGTTTTCTTAGACGTCATGATACCACCTGAGCAATCTACTTCTGTCACACGTGACTAGGGCTGTGTCCAGAACTGCATACTTGTTTGCTGTGTAGTAGCCAAAATGTAGTATGAGAGGTGAGCAGTATGTCTGAATCCTCAGTATGGATGAGACATTAGACGAATGGTACCGTGATTACATGCTACATTTCGTGAGAAGCATCCTTTATTTGCCATTTGCACAAGTATAGGTACATCGGAATGCTTCTCTTTGCCGAGCCCATCTTGCTCTCCATAACTTAGGGGTCAGCCAACATGCGGCACCCCTGGAGCTGGGGGTTAAAGGCCTTGCTCAAGGGCCCACGGACATGTAACTTTTCTGCCAGGGCTCAAATCTTCTGATCACAGAGACACAGCCACTCACTTGCCCCATATGTATTATTTTTTATTATTTTTTTTAAATAGTTTTTAACTTTTGCAGGGGTAACGCTATATCATTGGTACACATTCAGGTCAGGCAAAATGCAAGATAGTGTCTGTAGTGTGTCTGAGTACATGCATACTGTTCTCATGCAAATGTACAGTACATACTACATTAACAGTCAGTACGCTTCTAACGAAAATCAGTACATACTGACACTGTGTAAGTGTGCGATTTCAGACACAAACTTGGGTTCTTAGCTGATGGTCACAGACCATTGTGTGTTATAGAGGAGGTGGGGGTCAGTTTGTCAGTCTGGGCTGATGCTTGCTCCAGGTCACATGACCGCTTTGCTGGTCCGATGCTGCTGGCCAGGACGAGGGCCCGTTTGGGTGGGTTCGTCTGGTCCACGGCGTCAACGTGGTGAATCTTCAACTCAAGAGCTTCCTTCTCACCCAGCTGCCTTATATTTTTATCTTTAAGTGAAGGTTCTGCAGCTGTAGAAGATTTCTGTGGATTTCCAGGTCTCGCATGCTATGTCTGCTATACCAAGCATGTCAGGAATGTGCTATATATTTCCTGTCACCCTCCGAGAGAGATGACACGTACCTGCCAACATGGGGACTTTATTTCTTGTCACCATAGGTTGTCTATATTAAGAGCAGCCTTGATCAGCGTTTAGGACACAGGCAAGGTACTGTCCCAAAAGGAAGTTGGAGAGAGAGAGGGTATTGGCCATCTAAACACGATTAAAGATGCCCCCCCTTGCAGATGCAGCCGGGTCATGCATTCTGACACCTGTCTCTGATGGATGGCTGCGTGCAGTAACCCTAAATACATCTCCCGGCTCTGAAAGTGCAAAACCAAGGTGACTCCCATAATGCCAACATCCCGCGAAGCGTTTCTGTGGCTGCCCGGCTCCGCCGCGATTAAGTTTGCGGGGCACCGCTTAAGTTCCTCTGGAGGTGTTGGGGAGGAGGGACGCCAGAAGAGGGCGCTATCGGTGTCACCTTTGGCACTGCGCGGCACATTCCAGCCTAGGCTGGGTGACATTCCACGTGGAATGTGCAGCCCTCGGTGCCAGCTGCTCCTACGAGGAGCCGCTTCAGACACGTGACGCGGCTTGTCGGCTGTGCTTTAAAGGGGCGCGCACCAGCTGCAGCCTGGACTCAGAGTGCTCCGGCGGTTCACAGTGACGTTTAAGGATCCGGTTGGAGAGCAACGTTGGGCCCCTCAGACTCGCCACAGCAGCTTGCCTCAAGGGCTCTAGCCCTCTAATAGGAGTCCCCTTCTGGGGTATGCCCCACTAGCTCAGAGTGGCAATGCTACGGCATTGCCCCATCCCCGGTTTCACCACGGCCGGCCCCCGGAGAAAGAGCGCCCTCAAGGCCCCGGCAGGCCCCGGCCCGGAGCTGGAAGATGTCAAGGAGGAGAGCAAGGAGCCCCTAACCCAGCACAAAGTGCTCAAGATCTTCAGCATCAACATCATCGCGCAGGGGCTGCCCTTCTGCCGCCGCAGGGTGAGTCCTGCACCGGTTTGCCGTCGGGTTTGGCGGCGCCTCACGGTTTCGTCTTTAAATCGAGGCGACGGGCTCCCTGTCGAGGTCCATCAGCTCTGCTTGTTTATCGTCGGGTGTCGACAGAAGGCAGCTCTTTTTTCCTCCTATCGGGCAGCTCGCTGGCCGCGTCTGACCGCGATGACGCACAGGCCCACTTCGGCCCTTTTGTTTTGCAAATCCAGAATAAAACCTCTTTCCTGTTTTCATGCCCTCCCCACGGGCAGACTTGTATATCTGTTCTTGACTACTTAAGATGGACAGATTAGTGCCGTGGACAGAGAGGTGGAGATTCTCTCCTTGACTGGCTTCTGGATTTATGCTCGTCATGTTGTCTCGCATTTATTGGTGTCTTAATATAAGCCTGTTGTGTGATTTATCTATTTGTTTTGCATACTCTGTAAATCAAGGTGAAGATGAATTATGGCTGGGGTTTCTGAATGGGGGACTGCATGAAGTGCGTGAGCTTCGCAACCTGAAGGAAGGACAAGCTCTTTTATCCGAGTTGCTTTTGCAGTCGATCTGCGCTGGTGTTATAAATTAACTCATGCGGCACCTGCAAATTACCTTATTGCAAGCGTAACTTGTAAAATTTTAGTAACTATAGGCCATGATTTTTAATGATCTGTAAAATGCTTGGCTATAAATGCGTACGGCTGTGCTGCCTGTGTGCTGCTATATAAGGGTCATTGCCCGTGTTGTCTTCGGGTTTCCTGGCCGAGTGCTTTACATGTTCGGGCAGGACCCGTCCCTAGGTACGAGGGGGGCAGCTGTTACCATGCAGCCTTTTCCTGAATAACTCAGCTCCTGGTGGATTTTGACACACATCCGCTGCACTGGCTGCAAGGAGCAGTACCTCCAGGGGTTTGAGTCCGAGGTCCTCGTCCCACACTCCGGGTAACCACCGCTCCGCACCGATGAGCTCACCGCCCCGGTCGCCACTTTCCGAGCCCCACCCAGCCGCCCTCGGGACCTGGCGTTTGACCTTAAAAAGACTCTTCGTGGCGTACCTATTTATAGTCCCGTGGAGCAACGTGGTCTGTGACGTATCAATACTGATTCCAATGCAGCTGCTGGCCAATAAGAGCGAGCCTTACTGGGCTGCGGGGCTGCTTGACGATTCGGGCTTTTTTTAGGACAATGCCTTGCAAACGAGTGCTGTGCCAAATAAGTGTCATACTGCCGACAAAAGGCAGGTGGCCACCTTGCGTCCGATCTTAAATGTAACATTTAAAAGCACGGAAAATGGTGAATCTGCCTGCCCCATCATGGCCGAACGTGAAAGCAGTCAGTTGATTTTCGTTTTCCTTTCTGAGACCTGCTGCTGCTTGCTCACCCCGCCCATAAGTTTGCTGTGGTAGCTGGTGGAAGCTGCATGGGCGTGACCTTCCATCGCAGAAGGCTGCCTGAATATTGTTAGGATGCTTTCTTCCCTTTTATAGTTGTCACCCCCCAGCAGTGTGACGTGGCGCAGCTTTGCTGTGTGTCACAAATTATGTTTGCTAGCTGTCAATCATTGCCATGATATAAAATTAGCCTTCTAGAAATGTCTGACACTGCCCAGGATGGTCCTAGTGTTTCAGGTCCCTTTAACTGGGCATTCTGTCATTGGTTGTTATTGGCACACACTGATGATCAAATAGCATGATGTTTCAAGTAGGATTTTTTTGGAACAGATTCCCCATTTATCCTTAGCTATTTTTTTTTCTTATCTGTCTTCGCATTATTTTATTTTTCCATTCCAGCATTTGGGCCTTAATTTGAACTGTGTCTGAGGCCTTGTCCTCCAGAGATCTGCTGGTACCTCCACAGATGCCCATATCACCAGTTCTAATGCAAACAGACGTCTCTTGCCTGGTAATAGCAAGCCAACTCAGAAGGGCTAATTAGAGGCTGTATCTGAGAGAGCTTGGTGACTTGCTGAAGATTGCCAGTGAGTGATCGAACATAACTTCCGGGCTGCCAGTTCATATCGCCGCGACTGCAGAATTTATGGTGGTTTCTCTGCTCTGTGGTGCAGTTCAGACGGCTAACACGTTTCGACGGCCGGGCTGTGGAAGGTGGAGGCAGGACCTTGTGGCCAAAGGCCAGCTGTCCAGCGGGGCTGCTGCTCGGAGCAGGTGGAGTTCCTCTCCAACTGTCCCGCCGCGCCCTGGAAAAGAATGCATAGGGTGACATTGGAGAGATAAGCAGTATTAACCTCCGGGATCATGTGCTGAGGTGACCCAACCCCAACCACCAATCAGTCGTGGAATGTGATGATTCTGTCTTCTGAAAGTTAGTGTCAAGTCATTAAAAGCTGTTACTACTGACCTAATTGTAACTGGATGGCTCGTTAGGCTCGATCGTTTGTCTGTGGACCAAACCGTTCAGCAAGATGCCATGACGAGACTCTGATACTGGGTATTTCATATTGTTTTTCCACTTTCATCTCAACTCTCATGTTAGTGTACCCCATATGAAGCTCCTTGAGGGAGGCTGACTCTGGGAGCACGGAAATGCTGATATCAGGCATCGTTCGGGGTCGATCTTGGTGTAGAGCAGAAAAGCCTGGTATAAAAACTGGAAATCCAGCCCCCAGTTGCTGCCAGTCAGCCTTTATGTATAACTGAGCACCTATCCCTACATGTGGATAGCTGGGTAGTCATTGGTTTTTGAAGCTTTCTGAGTCCAGTATGGCTTCTGGGTATGTTTCAGCCCAGACCCCAAAGTGATTTTATATGGGGTTCTGTCACCCAGGCAAATTTTTCACTGGTGATTCTTCTCCTGTTTAAAGCTTAATTCAAATCGCTTTGCATTACGTGGCCTGCATCTGATAACTACAGAGAGAATCTGTCAGAGTCCTGAAAATTCCTCAAACTTTTGATCAGTTGAAAACTTATCTCAATGGCATGCTGAGGGCCCTGATATAAATAGTCAGGATGGAGATTGGGTTTCCAATTAAAATGTGTCGGGAAAGAGCACTTACCATTTCTCAGGCTCGAATGGAGGTCCAGCTGCTGTGGAGATGGTTATCAGAAAGTGTTGGGTGCATGGAGAGTCATTAGAGAGGTCCGATTGTGTTCCCCTTCCTCCCTCTAGACCATGCCATTGGGTAAATTAATCCAGACCAACATTTAGACCAGGGTTGAGTCTCTGTCCACCTGAAAGGTTGTCTACTGAACTTTCCTGTCTTTCTGTGGCCTGTGGGAGGGATGGGGGGGAGGTAGGGGTCACAGCAACTCAGAATCCATCTTCACACCCTTAAAAGCTTTCTGCTGTTGACGCGTTGAAAGGGCACCTGCCCCGCACAAGGCTCTCTTGTTTTTAGTTGTATTGTCGTGCATTAGTAGTACAGTGTGTTGGGCATAGGAAGCCATGGAGTGAACCAGTTGGGACGGTGATGGCAGGGAGGCATTGGGGTAGCACTTTAGAGGACATTGCCGGCAAGTTCTGGCCCATGGCTGCAGCCCCTGTAGCTTCGGGGAGGGGGTCGATTTTGCAGCTCTCAGTCATGCGTCTCCTTCGATCGCATTTCAAAAACAACTTCTCACCTTACACCCCGTCCTCCATTTCCAGGAGGTTTGGATAAAAGGGACCGCCCTATTTTTAATGCGAATGCCCCATGTCACCTGGCTGTTGACTTGCCGCTGGCCGGGAGGCCCGAGAGTCACGCAAATAGCCCGCGTTTCGATTCGTAAATCCCCCGATAACCTTCACCTTCAGTCCCCTGCCGCTTTTATTCTCCGAGAATAGCAGCTCCTGCGTGCACGAAAACTGCTGGTGACCCCCGGCCATGAGGTCACACGAGGTCTGTATCCAGGTCTTAGATGGGGGCTTCCCATCCATTAAGCTAATCAGTCTCGGTGTAGGCTGTAAGTGTGGTAGCCTCTGTAACTCTAATGGGTTTCTGGCCAGTAGGAAACTGCGATATGAAAGCCCCACTGCCTCCCCATGGTATTTGAGCAAAACAAATGCTTCACAGATCTAGACTCCCTCAAATCCCCGGTTTTATCCAGTCATGTGTTAAAGGCTTGTTGTGGTTTCCATATAGATGAGTATCAGAAAACATCTGAAGCAGGCCAGTCGAGACCGCAGCCCTTCACTTCGAAGCGTGGGAGACTCGGCAGTAAAATGGGGGGCAGAAGGCGTTGAATTTCTGAAGGGGTTTGAGAAATTCGATACGCCATAAACCCCTGGATTCTATGAGGTGTAGAGTGGCCTGCATTCCCAGCTCTGTGGCGTTTCTGACTCTTCGCGGCTCTGCACAGCTCCTTATTTACTTTAAGGAGAAACACTCCCTTGAGACGCCTGCTCTTGGGTCCTCGTTTGTCACGTTGCGGAAAGTTCCAGAATCCACTCCCCCCCCCCCTTCCCATAATAGGAACCTCATAGCAGGTCTCAAGGAGTTGCATTGGGTCTTGTGTCTGACTGGCCGCCGTGGGGCTGGAGGCCCCACTGCAGATTAACCAGAGCTGGGGCACAGGAACATGATGCAAGGACGACCTGTTCCATGTTGGGCAATCATGGAGGGGCGCTTAAAAAAAGCTACAGCTATCCATATAGACATAGGGGGGACTCTGATAAGGGTGCATAATACTTTATCAGTGTGTTACTTTCACAAGTTCCTGTTGCAGTTTATTCAGAATTCCCAGTGGCGCCCCTTCACCTGCTCTACAGAAGTACTGCTTGCCCCCCCCCCCCCCCACCCCTCCATTCAGATCTGTGGAGCTTCTGTTGGGACTTTGCTTATGGCCTGAGAGGAAAAGAGAGTCCCTCCATCAGGCTGAGCCAGGAGCTTGTGAGGGTTCAGGCAGGCTGAGATGCTAATGCTCAGTGGCCCCCGCCCCCCCTTCTAAGGGCAGGAGACCTTTAGGGAAAAGGACCATCACATGTAGAACTGGACTGAGTTGGTTCCAGGATGATGTAGTTCAGGAACTATCTGACTTCTCCCTACCTTTTGGTTGCAGATGCATGCCGCTAGG